TCATGAAAATGTGGTCAACTTCCCAACTCGACAAGATACTTCACTTGATTTAATATTTATAAGTGATTCTGGAATATACGAAGCTCGTAAAAGAGCTCCGCTCTTAAATTCTGATCACTGTATTGTACGAGTTCTACCCAAAATTTACGGAAAGTTACACAAAAAAGCCTTCTCTAACTTGTCCAAGAAAGTTGTTCACAGATGTTACTCAAATGAGAATGTACAACATCTTAGAAACATGCTCAGTGACACAAGAGAGGATCTGTTTAATGATGTTTCACTTGATGACACTATCTCTAATATTACATATAATCTGCAATTCTGTTTTGAAATCTGCTGTCCAAAAAAAACACTATTCGTCAAATTTGACCGTTTCTCCTTCCCTCAACTTAAAAAGCTTCGTAGAGGGAAGGAAAAACTATATAAAATGAAAGATAAAAGTGGTGTAAAAAGAACTAACTTCTTAATCAAGTCTGAAATGCAGAAGCTGAGCGTAATTTATAACCGGAAATTCATATCCTGCAAAAATGCTTCTAATATGTGGAAACTATTTAAGGAAATCACTGGTGGTAAGCAGATAAACAGTATTGCGTATTCCTTTAATGTATGTATTCTTAATAAATCTTTTATTTACTCTCCCTCAAATGCCACGCTTCCCAGCATCGCTAGTGCTAATAATAGCCCCTTTCCAGGCTTTAACACAAATGATGTTCAAAAGTGCCTCAAGTCTCTGAACTCTTCCCAGAGCTTAGGTCCAGATTATGTACCTAGTATTATTTTTTAAATGTTCTGATATTCTGTGTCACCCTCTCACTGATCTACTTAACAAATCTTTTTCCAATATTATTGTACCTGCCGTTTGGAAAGACATTAAAGTTGTACCTATACCTAAATCATCTAGTGGAGCATGTGGCAAATTTAAACCCATTGATATTAACTCTCCTTTTTTGAAAACTATGGAGAAAATACTTTTACTTAGTCTTGTACCCTCGCTTAAATACTTTAATGACCCTAAACAATTTGCCTATAAGCACAGTAGAAGCACTTTGGATGCAGCTGCCGTCTTATACCATAACATTGCTTCCAGTCTAGACAAAGGGGCTAAATTTGTTCGTTGTGCCTTCCTAGACTATACATCTGCTTTTGACTCGGTCCCTAGGGACATCTTATTAAATAAACTTGCTGCAGTTCAAACACAATGTTGGGCTGTTAATTGGTTACATTCCTATTTCTCAGAAAGAAAGCAGTAGACCGTGTATAAAGGGAAGTCTTCCACTTCATTGCCTACTGAAGCTGGTGTCCCTCCAAGCGCTGTCCTTTCCCCTTTTCTCTTTTTTTCTACTTACATGACTTTCCTCACTCTGATGAAATAAACTTTGTGAAGTACGCTGATGATTTAACAGTTTCAATGGCTGTTAACTCCCAGCTAGATTGTACCAAAATAAATAGCTTTCTGTCTGGAGTCAGTAAATGGTCTGAGTCTAACGGTCTTAAACTGAATCCTTCTAAATGCCAAATTGTTAATTTCAGCTTAAGATGTAAACGACAGTTAAAAGAAGCCGTCGGTTCTCATGACGGTTGTAAGATTGATGACAATGATATAGGAATTAAATCAGAAATTAAGTATCTTGGACTTATTCTCTTTTGGAGGTTGCAGGTGTCGACGTTCTCGAGTTGTACGGATTATACTAACGCAAGATCTTATACCAACAACTTCTATAGTGTTCGTTCTTCGAGTACCAAATGGTAAAGCAAAAGACCAGGTTTTGTCGTCCAAAGTACGTAGTATATTTCGGGACAAAATCTCGGGTAGAGGTGAATGCTTAGCTAGCTAGTAATCGTGCACGCACGTGACACGACGGAGTACCAAATGGCGGGGATGCTTGACCGTAAGCCTTCAGCTAAACAAGTCGACTTAAACAGTGATGGTCAGCATCCAATGTTGAGTGATGATTGCTGTGGTCAATTATTTTGGGGAATTATTTACCGCTACAGCCCCCTAGTGGGTTTGTGAGGACCCTAAAACATGACCAGCCGGAAGTAAAAAAATCTCGATGGTTCCCTGATGGGTGAAAATATCTTCCGAGCTGCTTGATCGAGAGCCTGCTGGTCTGTCTGCCTATGCTAATAGGGTGTCTGTACATAGCTTCCTCGATGTTGTTCGTTGGATCCCGTGCTTCGTTTGTTTCCTGTCCAGTGCCCGTTGCACCTGGAAAAGAAAACAAGAATGCTGAGAACCTTGTCAAGGAAAATGTACCAAATAAGCGTTTTTTCAAAAACAATGACGTGCATCTACTATACAGTAAAATGATGTAAAGTTCAAAATGTCGGGGAAAGAAATATACATCTAATTTAATTTTTTTCCAAGTGCATGTTTAATGTACGGTTATAGGAAAAAATCGTTTACTTGTGTTCAGTGATGCTACATAAAAAAATTGATGTGTCTGAAGAGAGATAATGAGTTGGGGGAAACACACCACTCAGTTATGTGAAATAGGTGTGAAGGTATTATGGGAATCTAACGTGACGTCCAGAACGCGTTCTCTAAGAGGGCTCGACCGAAGGTTCGGTGGCTTTCGCCGTGCTAGGGAGTTCTTCGAAGACTAAAGGAGATTCAATTACTTGTGGATTATCGGGTACGTTTAGCTCTAGGCTAATAGGATTACCTTCCAAGTAAGCCGGTTTCAGACGGTCGATACTGACGGTGTCTTCGCGGCTTTTCTTGTCTAAGATGAAGAATTTATCAGTAAGTTTAATTGCTTTATATGGTCCGTCATACGGGGGTTCTGGAGGGCGACGCACAGAGTCGCGACGAACAAATACGTGTGAAGTTTTTAAACAAGGGTGAACGAAGACATCGGTGGACTGTGGTCGGAGGGGAGCAGGTTTAACTGAACAAGTCGACTCAAACAGTGGTGGTCAGCATCCAATGTTGAGTGATGGTTGCTGTGGTTAATAATTTTGGGGAATTATTTACTGCTACAGAAGCCTAAAACAAATCAAGTATAATCTATTTTTGCAAAAATGGACGATTATAAAGCCTATATAGGCGTGAACGCGATAACCCGTACAGTGCGCGATAATATATCACGATAACGTTTATCCTCACCCCTCACTGACGAACGATGCAGTAACAAATGGCGGTCTTGGCTGACGTGGGTGCAGAATAACAAATCCGCGTGACAATAAGCAATATTGATCTGCACTCAGTTTAATTCACATCTGTCGTTGCTTACGATAAAAATGCTGACAAAATCATACAAATAAATCATTCATCTAAATTTATTACCCAATTTAAATATAAATCAAGAACAAGAAACATTGCTGCAAACACCAAAGATATATGGAGAAATTGACTTCAAGCTTAATTTTTCCCCAAATATTTCTAATCCATCCAACACATACTTGGGTTTTTTTGTTAATGCGAAGACAATATTTCTATATTTCTTAATATGCTCCATTGAATGACTAGTTAGCAGATTGTACTCACAAACTAATGTCAGAAAGGCCAGAGACCATAAAATTTCACCGTAAATCAAACTCATGTAATGTATATAATACTTATCCATGCCTGTACAGCTGGTGCGTCCTACATAGATAGGAATAAATATATGTTATATTCCTGTCAACTCCGTGAGTGATAGTTCTGTGCCAATCTATACCGACCTTAGAGTCCCTTTTTGTGCTTCTTGTGCACAAAAATGTACGTCTATATCTCACACATATCTTTCTTACACGTCACGCAAAAATTCGCTAAGTATTCAGCTTTCTCAAAAGTGGTTTTTCTAAACGACAAGAGTACTGGCATTTCGTACGGATTACGTGTTTTCATGCAGTCGTTTATTTCCCCAGACAGCATGCATGTAGATGCTTGAAAATAACATGTTTATTGTGACGTGCTCCTGAATACAAATGCCATACTTATAGATTAGGTGGTTGGATAGTGATTACATGGATCCATTATTACGCGTTTTGGCTTTGTTGTACACACATGACAAAGTGATAGTGATAAACTAATCAATACTTTTTTAAAAGATCAAGAAAAAAATGTAACGAACCTTTAGTTCATTTTCGGATTACTAACTTCCCATAAGTGATTAGCTGTTGCATGTTCCTGCCACTGTGCAACATTACCGATGAAAAATACTTTACATCACTCAGAACTACGCACTCTGAATTCTACTATATAAATGATAGAGTTTTCAGTAATAAAAATGGCTTTAGATAAATCGACTTCGCCAACTCAGAGGCTACTGAAATTGTATCGATATTTTACGACGGTCAGTAATATGATGTTAAAACGTCTGCAGTGTGTCTTGAAAGCTAATCATCATTCATTGGAAAACGATCAACGATGATATTGTGAGAGATGTCAGCCCCATGTATTGAGTTATTGCACTAGGTTACAGTTCCAACCAAACGGATTCTGAAAGAATTTGCTGCACTTATGGAACGGATTTCTGGGAAGAGGTAGTAATCTCGAGAGGTTTCAGCTCCACCATCCGATTGTTAACAGATAAGCTACTTTAAGATGACTACATTAAGTGAAAGTATTTGCGGATTATTCAACAGTTTGGTGGAACCGAGACCTTACATTCAGGCAAGCGGGTCAAAAATTTTTTGTGTTATCAAAGCTTTGGACGACTAAAATCTAGTATGCATTTGGTGACATACTACTAATCATTCAACCGTACTTAGTTTCTCGTCACAGAATCCATCGAGTTCTGCTTCTTTGTCACTAAGTCAGTTGAAATTAATGGTCAATAGTTAAAGTTAGAAAGCATGCAAAGAAAAAATGAAGTTTGGTGTTATCTTGGCCAAAGAAATAATAAAGTAGTCGGTAGAAAACATCTCATAACTTTCAAAAACATATTTCAGGTTTCCTACTTCACTGACAGTTCACTGTGTACTGTTGTCGATATTTGTTTTAATGCTGTAATCTATTAAGCTTTGGTAGGCTATGAACGCTGGCTCACTAATCAAGAACGGGCAACGCATGAGCAAAATTATTTATGAGTATTTTAACAAGTCTCTACCTCTCAAGAAAGGATTTTAGATCTTTAAAGAAATAAACTTTGCATATGAACTACTTAATAATCTAATTGAACTGCAACAACTGAATTCTTCACAATGATAATAGTCGATAACTTTCTCGTCAATAATAACACCATAGGGGATAAAAGAATCAAAAGTACCCTGATGCCATCTGAAAACAGAGAAATTACTGTCATAAATAGTCCTAAACCTGTCGGCGATAGTCGCAATGTGCCACTAGAAAAGAGTATAAGTTTTCTTAAAAATCAACATGATGCCATGCTGAAAGGATTACATCAGGAAATCGAATCCTTGAAAAAGATCAACAAAGGTGTTTGTCATTTTCCTGTACTTTATTTTTATCAGACTTGCAATACCGCCTGGTTATGTGCACGTGCTCTGCTGGCGAAAAGATGTTTACAAGTTAAGTTAACCTATATGCTTAATTTAATAAATAGGTAAACCCATAGAGAGAGACGAATCGTCTTTAAAAAGGGAAATACTGGCTCTTCAGGCAGACCTTGAGAATGAAAAAAGGAAGAATGCATCTCTAATCAAGCAGCTTGAAGCATTACAAGTGTCTCAGAATTTACCAAAGGGGTAAGCTACTTTTACCTTCATCAGACGTAATAAATTGGGTTCCAGTAGGTTGAAAAAGTTAAAGCAGACATCTTTTAAGGACTATGAAATGCAGTCGATTCCACTTTCAACTTTTTATGTCCATAATTTAGTGTATTTTGTAATATTTCACTCGACTGAGAAGTTTCCATTCAAAACCTGTTTTCCTTGTGTTGGTTGTTTTTAAAAAAAAATAAAACAAGTGAAAGCTTCACTTCGCTGTTTATCATTCTAAATTCATGCTTATACCCATGAGACTCAATTTTTCAGTTAGACTACACTACTCTAATTCTCTTGCATTCTAAATCCTTTATTTGGTTAAACTTAGCATGATTGGCTCTTTTAAAATGCTCTCAGATGCCTGGTTATATTAGCTTACAAAACATTGCTTGCACTGCAGACAAACAAATGTATTATTATGTCAGTCAACTATCTTAGATAATAATATATCGATAAATATTCATTTAAATTTAACTGAGAGATAAGACAAAACTAACTTGCCGTAACATTCTAGATAGTGAAGAACTTGTGACCTAGAGACTCATTTATATCTATAACTTTTCAGTATAAAGTGATTAGTGCAGAGTTTGGCTATTTTTAAAGCCGCACTCATTTTTATTTGCTTTCTTTTAATTCTTAAATTAGACTTCCGAGGTACAAATGTAAAGATGAAATGTCAACAAACTCTTCGGAGCAGAAGAATACTGCAGATGTATATGAAGTAGCCCAGAGTTTGGGTAACGACCGAGACCGGAATGATAGTGGAGGAATTTTGGAGGAAAATCAAGGAGTTTGTGGTAAATATGTCGATGTAAGTCTTCTTTACTTTTATTTTCATCTAAGTTTAACAATAAGTGTACAGATTTCAACTTTGTGTATATTATTTACTGCGAAATTTTTTCATTTCCCAATGAATGAAAACAAAGCAATATCATCTTTATTGATTTTCCGCTATCCAGTGCTGACAGCTTTATTAAAGTAACATTTTTGTGTGTCGTATGGATAAACCGTTGCCACTTCACGATTCATTTTATGCTAGTTTGTATTTATCACACTAGATAGATTCATTTGATTTAACACATAGTGAGGAAGTATCAATAACTGGATGACGTTTCAAGCACAATTTACTGCTCATAATTACATATATTTAGTCACATAGCTTCATAATTTGCTTTGTATTTTCCAGTCTTCCCCTTGTTGTTTTTGCCACTTTCCATATCTCCGGTATAGGTGTTGCATCATTTTGATTGCACGCCTGTCGCGTTGAATTGACGAAGGACGATTCAGTGACTGAACTCTCTCTCCATCTAACCATATCACTTTTTATTAATTCCACCCTGTCTCACTCTATTGTGTGATTGCATACAAGTGAATGTAATGCACTAGCCGAGTTTTTTTCTAGGTTATTTAACTCAGCAGGGTCAGTCATTCTAAGCCTAGCTAAATTTTTAATGTTCCGATAATCTAATTCACCCCAATCTAATAGTCTGACCTATTTAACTAACCTCACAGTCATTACATGGTATTTGGTAAATTATATTATTTTTCCTAATTAAATCTATCGGGTCCTTAAGCTGAACTTGTCATTTAAAATTAATTTATCAAGGTTTTATGAAACTAATTAGATGAATTTATATCCTTAGCCTGGAATAATTGATATCAAAGACAAGTAAACTATCTTCCTAAAAAAACAATTTAATTTCTTATCACCTACCTATTGGATAATTCAAATTGTGGATATAACTGAGAAACACACTTTAAAAAAATAGTTACTAACGTATACCTAAATAACCAAGCAACTTTATTGGTAGTTGTATAATACTATAAAGTAAACAGCTTATTTAAGATATGTAGAACATGATTCTGCTTATTTTTCTATAAAAGCTACGTGTAAAATAATCACCTGAGCCTACTGTTCTATATGACCGAGAATAAATCATGTTTGGTAGTGATGACAAACGAAGAGGAATTCTCTGAAACACCTTCGTTTTAAGACATTCCCAAAAATGTAGAATTTTCCTTGGAACCACTGTGAACTAAATCAAGTGTGTGTATTGTTCTTCATCATTATTTAACAAAATTAAAGGTGTACTATTTCTTACGGTCTTAGGAATTCAGACTAAAGGAGTAATAAAGATTTTAGAATGTTTTCAATCTGATCTCCAAATACTAATCACCATGATACTGCCATGTATTTTAACTTCATCTATAACAATTTTCAGATGTTATTTTTTCATTTTTTTAAATTATTCCTTCACGTTCCCAGTGGAACATAGGGCTTCAAGCTAGAGGCTTGAAGTTTCTTTAGCAGTGTTTATTTATACAGGATGAGGTTTCTAGCCTCATGCCCAACCTTTCCCCTTTACCAGCTTTATATCTGGCTTGGCGAGGTATAGGAGTGCGTCGTCCGGGGATCGAACCCCGGACCATGTGCATGGTCGGCGAGCATCCTGACCGCTATGCCACCGACGCACATTTTCAGATGTTAAAAAGTTCTTATTTTTGATCACAAAGTACACAGAATATCTGTATAACCAATTAATGTATGTACGTAGAAAAATTATCTTGGATTTTTAATGCCTACTTGCTGTATAGTAAAATATATTAACTTCTCAAATCAGTATGATGAACGCATTTTAAGTGAATTGTTTCTTACAGCTCTCAAAGTACTGCAGAAAATTAGACATATCCTGAAAGCAGCCACGTCATTTCAAGTATTAAATACCTCTGAATTGCGAATTTATAAAAGCTGATGATAGTTTGTGTGTGTGTGTATTATCTGTTTCGTTACCCCCATTAAGGAGGTATATAGAAGTATATCCATGGAAATAGTTTAAATTAGTATTAAACCGTAGTCTTTTCCTGTTTGCGCAGCGCTAAAGTTAGAGGTCAAAACATTAAGGCGTATATGCGTTTTAGTGGAATATGTTACCACTTGGTTCCCTGTACCTAAGTAAAGGACTATAGTGAACTGTATATTTGTTCAAGGTCTCTTTTTACTTACAATTTCCAAACAGAATATGCAGTCATTCGCCTAATACAGTCAAAATGATTTGGAACTTAGACCCAGTGACATTTTCTGGATGTTCTTAAAAGCTTGTCCGTGTTGTATAATGTATACTGAATTTTTGCTTGATTTAAATAATTTCGACAGCGGAAGTTTTCAAGCACTACACTAACAAGGAGGAATGTCAGCAATCCGTCTGACTGAAGAAGTCACTCAAAGAAATTTTATTACTAAATCCCTGGCGCTCTGTAGTAGAGATAGATGTTAAGTGATTGTCACAAATAAACCTTAATCGTTAGTGTAAACTGAAACTGTTGGTTTGAAGAATACACATTCATCACAAACTGGCTGTTTTATGTCAGTTACTACGCCTTCCCTATACTGTCTACCAAAAGACTTTAAGTAACCAATAGTATAAATGAGGCGGATAAATTCAGAAATTAGAAGTAAACTGAAGTTTCTCAAGTATTGGTTTGTAGGGATTTGGCTGATTGGTTACAAGATTTTATCATGACCTGACATTGGTTAGAGAACCATTGGAAAACCTATAGGGAGTACTGGACAGCTGTTTCGTTCTAGTTTGTGACTCTTCATCAGTACGCACCCACCGGGGTTTGAAACCAAGACCAATTGGTTACAAGGCGGGCTCGTAGACCATTAAGCCACTGGGACCCGATTCAATGGCCCATGAATTCTAACTTCTGCCAATTCACGATATAGCGCAACCGCTAGCCAATGTCTTCGGCGAGTATTTGTCCTCACACCCGACCTGCTGCACCCTACTGGTCACGACTTCTCACTAGAACTCCAAGTAACTACCCACCTGAATAGGACCAGTCGCCAGTGAGCATCTCATTGATATTCAAGTATTGGTTTGTAGGGATTTGGTTGATTGGTTATTGCGTTATTTAACTCCACGACTGCATTGAATTCCAACATCACACAATCATTTGGGTGATACCTAGACGCACAATATGCATCCAAATCACTTCAGATTGCATAAATTCACAATCCTGTAAGGTGGCTGACCTTTGTCTGTAGTCTAGACTTTTGTCTTTAACCTAGATATTGCTAGTGAAGCAATTCTGCGTCAAAAGAAAAAAACTACCAAATACATTGAGTCTTTGCTTTCAATAAGTATTCCATATTTCCAAGACAAATTATTTATTGTTTTGATTATCCCTCTTTATTTTATCGTCATTAGATCTTACTAATTCTAATGAATTTGTTTAAAATACATTACATTCATATTATTCAAAGTGTTTATTTACATTCTGTATATAAAAGGTTACAATGAATGCAAATAGTGAAAGTACCAATAATCAGATGATGAGGACAATGACAACATCACCATCAGTATCAACAGTAAACCGACTACCATTAAATATATCAGAATGTAATCTATGGAAAAGGAATATTTCTCATTCATATGATAATGATATTTATGAGAAAGATGAAACTGCAAATAAATCCAGTGGTTTGACAGGAACACGTTTACTGCCTATTCGATTACCAGCATTGAATTTTAGAAAACCGCTTATACAAGCCTCATTGAGTGAACAAACTAAAAGTGATTCACCTACTAAAGGTACAAAATACTCTGTGGTAAACAGTTCATTAGAAAATGAAAAGGTGTAAGTCAGTTATTATGATGTATTTTTAGAATTTCTTATATACTTTTTAAAGAAAAAAAAAATTCATGTTCGTAATCCCTGGGAAAATTAGAGTTCAGTGACATTTTTATTTTTAAATTTGAATGTTAAACAGAAACAACTATTATTCACACAACTATCTCAATTAACATTTTGGTAGACATTCAAGTATTGGCTTGTAGGGATTTGATTGATTGTTTACAGGATTTCATCATGACCTGACATCGGTTAGAGAACCATTGGAAAACCTGCAGGGAGTACTGGACAACTGTTTCGTCCTAGTTTGGGACTCTTCGTCAGTTTGCACCCACCGCCAGCGTTCGAACCCAGAACTTTCTGGTCACAAGGCGAGCCCGTAGACCATTTGGTATACTAACACTAAATGCGAAAGGGAGGAATAATCATTTCAGAGTAAATAAACGAGTGAATGAATATAATCAGACAAGTTGCCTGCAATCTCTATTCCCAATTAATGCTTCGTGTTACAACTTTCTTCTTTGTTCTGATTTCAATTTTTTTCACTCTCTTCGTTACTAGTGAAATATAAGGCCCTTAGCTTTGGATTTTCAGTGGAGGTGATTTGTTTCTAGATAATGGGATTTGCTAGCTTCGCACTCACCTTTTCCCCTTTTTATCCGAGATTACTACCAATCTGGAAAGGTTTAGATGTGCTTCAGCGGAGAATCGAACCCTGATCTTCCACGTGACTGGCGAGCATTCTCTCACTGAACCACCGACGCAGCTCAACGTTATATGGAATATTGTTTGTCATAGTGTGTTGATACATTTATACTTAGTAGAAACTTATTTCGTTGTAAAAATAAGTCACTCATTCAATTTATGCTTCACAGAAGGTCTTGAAGCAGACAGGTTATAAGAAAATTCTACTCTAAAAAAGATTAAATGTCGAGAGACAAAAAAATACTCCACTTCTTTCCAAAAACCGCGAAATAATAACAAGAAAATACAAAAAGATCTGAAGTGAAACTCAACTCAAAGAAAGATTATTAAGGTCACTCAATGTAAAGGAAGAAGTTCCACAAAAGTTCCCTGAAGTGAAAGTTTCAACTTTAGAAAGTGTTTCAGAAACACGTTGACTGTTAAAAAGTAAATCTTCCGAACGCTTCAACTTTTCTCTTTTGATCGTTTTATTATTTAGGTTGCGAGGGATTGATTAATCTAATGCAACTAGGTGTTCCTAAATAATTAGTGTTATTGCTCTATTCTCCTCTTCCACAAACTGAACCACTTACTTCTACATAACATCTTTGTAAAAGATTTTCTTTCATTTTTATAAATTATCAGTTTCATAGAAATATGTGAATTCAGAGGAACACATTGAGATGAATGTAAACTGTAAAGCACCTCATACACACTGACGTACTGAACACTAGATCGTAATATAAGCAAACGTTATCTAACTTGAATAATATAAAATAAAACACACACACATTCACAGTCATCAGTATTTTCCAACTTTATGTGATTTCTATCACAGGACAAACATACTTCTCAGTGAACTCATTAAGCCTACATATTTTGGTAGTGTAGTTGTAATTCTTGATTTTTTGACCTAGATTAATCAGAAGTTAGCACGGTACTTCACACTGACAAGTATATACATACGGATCGATTCATGAGTTAAGGGAAATCATAACAACGATATTTACTGAATGATACCTTCACCATGTGAGGTGAAAATGTTAAATTTCCGTAGAAGCAAAGAAAGGTCAGAAATATATGTGAAACTTTTAGGCCAGGAAGAGGGTGTATTGATCATATCTTCACCCTTCGACAGATTCTAGAACATAGGCATTCCTACCGGCGTCCGACAATCACTATATTTCTTGACCTAAAGGCGGCATTCGATTCTGTCGACCGAGAGGTTCTCTGGCGATGCTTGGCTGTAAAGGGAATGCCAAGAAAATACATTGCACTGATTAAGGCACTCTACTCGTACTCATGCAGCCAGGTGAGGGCTTATGGCGAGTTGTCATCTGAAGTGGTGATGACTAGTGGCGTCCGTCAAGGATGCCCATTATCCCCATTCCTATTCAACTTCGTCATAGACGTACTAATGGACTTAACCCTAACACACTTCAGCGACTCAGGGATTGACTTGCTACCAGGGAATAATCTCGTTGACTTAGAATATGCAGACGATATAGTCCTTCTAGGTGAGGACGCTGGTAAAATGCAGAGTCTACTGAACACCTTGAGCAACAATCTTCGTATGTTTGGCATGCGATTCGCCCCTGTAAAATATAAGATGATGCTGCAGGATTGGACTTCACCGACCCCTAGATTAGAAATAGGAAGTGAAGTATTAGGGCACGTTGACCGCTTCACTTACTTGGGAAGTACCATCAGCCCCAACGGATTGATCTCCGACGAAATCTCAGCACGAATACAGAGGGCTAGTTTCGCATATGCCAGTTTACGCCGTCTCTGGCGTAGACGCGATATCCGACTATCGACCAAAGGGCGTGTGTACTGCTCAACAGTCCGCTCCGTCCTCCTTTATGGCTATGAGACCTGGCCATTGAGAGCAGAAGACATGAAAAGATTAGCTGTGTTCGATCATAGGTGTCTGCGTTCTATCTCCCGCATGAAGTGGTATAATAAGGTGAGCAATATTGAGGTTAGGCGTCGAGTGCTAGGTAAGGAGGGGAAATCAGTCGACGAGGCTGTGAAATTACATCGATTGAGATGGTTAGGACATGTGTTACGTATGCCTAGTCATCGCCTTCCTCGCAAGGGCAATGTTAGCTGATATAGGGTCAGGCTGGAAAAGAGCTAGCGGCGGTCAAACGAAAACATGGCACCAGTCAATGAAATCTACAACAGTTAGTCTAAGCCACGTAGGAAGGTGTAGACTTCCTGGTTGGGGTCCTCGGGACGGTAAAAACCAATGGTTGGAAACAATTGGTGACATGGCTCAAAATCGTTCTCAGTATGGCGCAGATGCATCCACTCCTTGTGACTTATGATTTCCAATTAAACTGTTTTGTTCTTCGTTATTATTATTCCTTTGTCTCACACCTCTGTTTACTGTCTCTAATATGCATTTCTCCTACTTTCTTCTCTTGCTTTGTGTGCTACATGGAGTGTGGTGACTTGAACTGCCGCACATATGTGCAAAGTTCTATGTCGAAAACCGACTGACCGACCGTATGTGAAACTATTACCGGTTTACATGTTTCTGTTTCGACCTCTGGAAATGTAGAAGAAAATGGAGATAGATAGGGCATACATTGAGGAAACCACTGAATCACATCGCACTCAATCCAGGCCATCGAGTGAAATTCCAATGGGAAGCGACTAGTGGATCGTCCTAGGGTGACATTGAGAAGATCGTGCGAGTTGGAGGAGATGAGTGATTATGGGCAATCGTGGACCCAGCTGAAGAGGACGGCAGAAAGTAGAAGAAAGTGGAGATCTGTTGCTGAGTCCCTATATTCCACTCGGAACCCAAGGAAATAATAACATAGTGGTAAACTTAGCTTATTTGTATAAAAAGTAATCGTAAACTTTTCCTCAAATTATGTTCCCGAATCCCATAAAACGTTTGAAACAGCTTTCCTTAGTTACCGAAAAATTTAAGAAAATCATTATTGTGATCAATTTCGCCCAGAAATTGAAAACCTAAAAATTACTGTCAGTGAAGATGAATTTAATTTTATAAAAATTTTATTCTTTTTAACTAATTTTAACGAAATCAGACGGATAAAGTTGATCAGATGAATTCCACTCAGCTACTGTCCTCATCTTCGTGGCGTTTTATAGTATTAGAAAGGTAAAGTAGAATTCTCTTCCTTCACTCACATTTCATAACTATTGTGGGTACTGTGTCTTATCACATATATTATGCAATGGTCAAGTTCCATTGCATTCAAAATCTTCTGAATTCTTTCGACATTGTTCCCCTTAATAATTTAACAATAAAATTGTCTTATCAATATTGCATAATTTAAAAAGAGTAGATTTACACTTAAATTAATGAGTTAACAGTGTATTAGTGAATTTTAACTCTACTTCATTCACCTCCTTTTCATTATATCGTTTACAATTAAACTTTACACAATTTTGGTTTCTTCTGCAAATATAAGATTAGACTTATATTCTCCTCAGTATTTTTTGTGAAATCAAGCTACAGAGTGTTTGTTCTTGTAGTGTAAATATTCTTATTCCTTTTGTATACAATGTTAATCAATAAAACCTTACAGATTAACGGATTTAAACAAAGAACTATATATATATATATATATATATATATATATATATATATATATATAATGCGATTTAACCACTGTGATTAGCCTATGTTTATTTCCCAGAAAATTGCAACAGAGATGAATACTTAATTCTTGATAATTTTAATTCATGTAAGGTAAAAATTATCTTGTGTAACGACCTAAAATTAAGCATCAGAGTTACAGTTACGTATATATTTGCTCATATTCAACAATGAATGCCTAAGAGGTATATATGAGTTAGTACGCATAGGTGTATACATCCTATCTCCCATGTTAGGTGGTATAATAGGGTGAGAAACACTGATGATAGGTGTGAAGTGTTAGATAAGGAGGGAAAGTCAATCGATAAGGCTGTGAAGGTGAATCGATTGAGATGACTAGGCATGCGTAATACATGCCATAGCCATCGGATTCTTCGACAGGCAATGTAGGCTGACATAGGATGAGATTATAAAAGAGCTAATGGTGGTCAAACCAAAACATGGCTTCATTAGTCCATGGAGTCTTTAGCAGTTAGTTCGAGCCACAGAAGGTGGTGTAGACTTCCTGGCTGTAGTCTTCGGGATGGTAAGAACTAATTGTGATATAGCTCGAAATAGTTCTCAATGGCTAGTGTAGATGTATTCACTCTTTGTGATCTGACATATCCAATAAAACCCTATTGTTTTTCTATGTTACTATTCCTTCTCCACATTTCTGGTTATTTTATCGTTTCTTCGAATCTCTTTTT